GAAGACGACGAGTTCAAATGTGATTGCGGCTTCGAATGCGAAGACCGTGTTCATGTAGTCGCGGAATGTCCGTTGTACAAGAAGGAGAGGGAAGTGTACGTGACTGAGCTGGGAAAAATAGATGGAACGTACAGGGAGATGTTTGAGGCATGGAATATAGAGGAAAGGACGGTAGCTGTACTGGGGCATAGGAGGTTGGTTGAAATGGCGGGAAGAGATATCGTTAGGATAGACAGACTAGGGAAAACATTCTTGAGCCACCTTTGGCAAAGTAGAAAGGAACGATTGGCCATCGGTGATCGGTCCTGTGGGAACAATGCTCCGTCCTCTCGAGGATGCGTGGTCAATGGTCTATAACCGCGAAGGCATGCAAAACATAAAGAGTACGCCCCCCTCTCCCCCCCGGCTTTGTCTTCCACGGAACCCCTACAGGTCGAAGCGCATCCTGCAGATACGGGAGGCGCAGCACGCGCACACTCCCGGCTCAGCGGTGCCGGCTTCTCTCAGCAGACCGGGCGGCGGCAAGGCGGGCAGCAGAGGAGTCGGGGTCATCGAGAAGTCTTGCAACTCTCGATTCGCGGGTTTCAAGGAGAGCGCCACCTCTTCGTTCTGCGTCGGGGGGGGTTCCGCACGTTCGGGGCGAGGGGGGGAGAAGCGGAGCAGCGGCGGTGGCGGCGCGAGAGCTGGCGGGGGGAAGGGGACCGGCGGCGGTGGGGGTGCGAAAAACTTGGCGGGCATGGCGTTGCGGACACTGTTCGGCGGAGTTTCGGGAAGGGTCGCCACGTGACGTGAGAGACGAGACAAGACAAGCGGTGGTGATCCGGTGTCGTCGTTTTTGTGTTTTTTTTTTCCACGGTCGGTTGTGGTCTGACATGACATGACGGATAGTGATAGCTCGGCTGGTGGTGATGGCGAGGTGCCAAGTGCCAAGTGCGCGTGGTGAAGGTGTATGGATTCTCGACAAGACAATTTGCCGCGTTTTTTTGTTCGGGGGGGGGGGGGGGGGGGG